TTAATGATTAATCGATAATCGATCATTAATTCTTCCAACGATCGATTAAGAACATTTCATCGAATGCCCATACCTAATTGTAACCTATTATTGTCTAGTATAAGTATATTTTTCTCCAAATCACACCTTAATTGTAATCATATTGAAATGTGAGATACCCATATACCTCCACCTGTATTATTTCAGTAGTTCAGTGCAAAGAGACCTCAAAAACCATTAACCCACGTAGGCCATGGTGTGCTATCATTCTTCTCAATGGCTGCCCAAAGCTGCTTGATTTGGTATTCAAAATGTCTTTATTGTCTCCTGGATTTACATGGTGGAAGCAGAAGTAATAAGGCCCAGTGTACTTTCCCTGTGAGCTGTATTCAGGCAATACCATTGGACTTTGATTGAACCTACCACGCGCTGCTCCATCTGTTTTTCTCTTTCCTGTTACACCCCATTCCAGGACTATGACAAGTAAAAAACAGTGCTTTTAGTCTCTTTAACGTCATGGCTAGCCCTGAATGATTTGCACTGTGTCTCCTAAGATCCACTATCAATAAACCATTTCTCCTGTTTTATGTCTCTTGGTGCTTTCAGACTGGACACAACGCTCATAGACTTTAGTGATATGAAGTGTCAACGTGGAGACCTCAGCTTCATTTTCAATGGCAACGCGATCCCCTCAGAGTCTTTTGTGGTGCTGGACAATGAGCAGAAGGTTTACCAGCGAATACACCACGAGGTTTGTGTGAAAACAAAGGTCAAATACTCAGCCAAGTCAACTACCACCTGAAATTTAATTTTAATAATTTTTCAACAGTATTTGCAGCAGAATTCAGTCTAATCTTAATAGCATTTTATGTAGAAAGATTAAACACAAACGTAAGGTGCAAAACTTAGTATTTCTGATCTCACCCAATTGTCTCCATGGGGATGTTACTGCTTTGACTGAGATGTTTCACAGAATGACATTAAACCTGTCGACCTCCTTGGAGGCAAATGGGCGATGCCATTAAGCTAAGTTACAGGTAATATCTATGGAGAGGTGACCACACATTAAAAGCTTTTGTGATTTTATTATTTATTTGCTGTTATTTGAATAAAGATTCCAGGCGAATCAACAACAACTCCACAGAAACCAGAGCCTGTGTACCTGTTGTGTTTTGTTCTCTTTATGTATAATACTCAACTAACTTCAAGACTTGTCAGATAATTTTGGTTTTTTTTGGACATTTGACATGCTTCTTTACCACTAGATACTTTTCATTACTGTCAGATCAATCCTCTTACCTGTACTTTAAGGTTTACAGTATCTACAGCCCTCTACTACTTAAGAAACCAAAGGGCACTTGTAGCAGCTATCAAACATCTGATTGAATTTACTGTACACGTCTCAACTTAATGTGCTTAACCTTATTCAATTTCTGTTGCATGTATTTTTCAGGAGTCCGAAATGGAAACTGAGGAAGAGGTAGACATTTTGATGAGCAGTGACGTTTACTCTGCCACACTGTCTACCAAGTCAATCACATTTTCCAGAGCACAAACCGGATGGCTCTTTAGAGAAGATAAGACGGTGAGTTTGGGTTTCAGAACAGTTTTTGTTGCCACCCTAAACTTTTGAACCATTGATACTTTGCAGCAGATGTCATCAACATTCCCTGGGGGTGTGATGCTAACTGGCTTTAATCTGTGCTTTATTTAACACAATCTGACCATAAAGAACTGACTTGGACTGGAACTACAATGTACATAAATTAGCCAGCAGTTTTTCAGTTACTCACACTCATTATTTGTGTTGACAATCAGACTCCTAAATAAGACCATGAATATTTATATTGATCACAGGCTCCTGAAAATGTGTTGTTTAAATCCATTTCAGACTAACTTAAACATTTGACAGTGTTTGTGTGTGCATTGGGTAACCATGGTAACTCCTAAACATTCCACAATTAGAGATACATGTAGAACATCCCCAGCCTGATGTCACTGCAAAGTATCAATTCTGTCTGTGTCTCATGGGGAAATTTCTGGAATCTAAAGTCCCAGACAGAAAGGTAAGGAATTTGCCATATCCTCTGACAAATGAAAAAGTAAGTCCCCAGATGTGTATGGTATGTTTTTACTGTGGCTTGTTTTGTTTAATAAATTTTTTTTTTTTTTTTTTTTGTAATGTTGATTTTTTATTTTTGCACAAACAGATCATCACAATTAAAGGTGCACTTTGTCTGTTTTTTTACTGGAGGGTCCATCACCTGCTTGTCCCATTAAAAAATGTTATTGCCTTGACTAATGTTTGTGCCATTAGTTCAATTACATGCGTTTTTATTGCTGAAAATGACTTGTCTCCATGAAAACGGTTGCGTTTTATGCCATTTTGTGGAAAATTTCAGGCGAAACTGCAGTATCTCCATGGAGACTATAAGGTTTCGGACCTTTAAATTACATAGTGCCCCTTATACACATGGATCAGACCCACAGTTTAATAGAAACTGTTGGGTGTAGCTGTTCACGCTGGCTTGCCCCATGATGGAATTGAATTTAAAATAGAGTGAACTAGATTGGACTGTGCAATGACTTACTTATTGTAGCGTCTGTCTTTTCTGTAGGAACGTGTAGGAAACTTTTTGGCAGATTTCTACTCTGTTAACGGACTGGTGCTGGAGTCCCGCAAGAGAAGAGAACATCTGAGCGAGGAGGACATCCTGAGGAACAAAGCCATCATGGAGAGCCTGAGTAAAGGGGGAAATCTCATCGAGCAGAACTTTGAGGTAGACCCCGCTCTCATTTGTACTTTTCCATTGATAATTTAGGACCAGACATATATTAGTGCAGATCCTAAAACCAGATTATGTGACTTAAAGGTGCACTTGAGGTGAACCTAATTACTTACGGGCTACCTGCTAATCTCTATGGAGATGTTATTGCTTGTACTGGAATGTCCCACTGTATGGCATTAAAAGTGTCTATTACAGGTGTTTGATTGTTTATAAAGATTATATTCTTATAGTGAGTGGGTTTGCCTCTCCATAGACCTGACCTGTAACTAGGCATCACCTGCTTGTATTGCTATACTGTTGAAAATTCCAGGCAAAGCAATAAGAACTCCACAGATGCAAAAAGGAACACGATGTCTATCAAGTTAATCTAATCAGGGAAAACAAATGTCTTTACATATATGCTTGTCAGTACAGTATCTGATGTGTATGAATTAGAAGCACAAGCAACAGTCACATTAAGTCTCATTAAGTCGCCATGATATAAACTCTGAAGGTTATCTGATTGTTTTCTTTTCTTTTTGTTTGTTCATCGTATGACACCAGGTCAGTATTGCCTCCTTTGCAATAAGATAAAATTCAAGCTCTGCATTTTTGAGCATCAGCCAAATCAGTTCTTTACGGTCAGATTAATAAAGTTTATATTAAAGTCTAACTTGAGTAACAGCGCTTCAGACAGAGCAGTGCCTACAGTTAGCATCACACCCCCGGAGAATGTTGATGACATCAACTGCAAAGTATCAGTAATAGCTGCACTGGTATATCTATATATCTACAGCCCAACCTCCAGTCCAGTCCTGAAACTGTCCTGTCTCGGTGGAATCTTGGGGTAGGATGTCCCATTCAAATCAGACCTCACAGTTATTATGGCTGCTTAAATGGCATGGACATTTATCAACACATTACTATTTTCTCTATGTACGTCTTTGATCTTTGCTTATGCAGCTCACTCTGCCGCTGCCCACATCACTTTGTTTGTGAAACAGCCTCAACACTGCCATCATGTGGTGACAGACACAGCTACACTTTCTCACTGAGGACTCTCCTCCACAGCAGAATGTTTCTAGTGTCTGAACACAAAGCACAAAGCCACTCTCACTGAAGCCTCTCAACTCCACTGGACTTTATTGTTGTCTTTTTTGTTGTTGGCATTGTTTTTGTCCTTTTGTGCCCTTTGCTTTTGCTGTAAATGAACATTTGTATTTGGTGTTAAAGAAGTCGTCTTTGTTGAAAAATGAAGTCCACTAGAGCTTGTGTTTTCAGAATAATTGGAACTGGTCAGCTATTAAAATAATCATAATTAAAATCATTGTTAGATGCAGCCCTAAAGTCCACTAGGGAGAGGCACAGTAGCTTTAGCCTGGATGTGTTTACCTCGGACTGGCTTAGCTCTGAATCTGTGGACACTTTCAAACAGGGCTTCCAAAATTGATGGCACGACTGAAACTCAAAGCTGACGGTGCTGTGGAATGATGGAGGGGCAGGGGGTGCGAGGGGGGCATACCAGGGCTGTGTTTTCTGTCTGGACCACAACAGCAAAGAGTGAGAGAGTCCCAAACATGTCTGTGAAGGCAGCCCAGAGGCGAGGTTCAAAACAGGGCTGTGTGTGCGTCTCCAGAAAGTGCTATGGAGCTCAACAGTGACCCCTGGTTTCCAAAGTAAATTTCAAATTTTTCCCATAAACTTTCTGGGAAAAAATGCATATTAAAAGTTTGTAAGTGCTCAGGCTCAGGGCTAATCAGCTACATGGTAACTAATGACCATAAAACCGATCTGTTTCTGAAACTTTGTAAACCGCAGAGTTATTAAAGTATTTTGCATCTTTAGTTTCAAATGTGCTTTTTGAACTTGAAACATCTGCATCATGGATATTAGTTACCACATAGCTGATTACCCTCTGTGATACCTTTTAACTCTTAATATTTGAATTTTTCGAAAAATTCTATGGGAAAAGTTAATGGAAAATTGACTTCCGTAACCAGAGCGGACGGTCACTGTTGAGCTCCAATTGTTTGAGTTGAAGAGCTCTGTGGTTCAAGTATGCCTCTACACTTTTCCGTTGGTTTCTGTCCTAGTTGCTTTATTTATCGCAGCAAAAAGCAAGGTCAGTCAGTTCATGTCCATTTTAGACAGTCAGTTATTTTAAGGGCAGTTTATCCTCCAGCTGGAATTATACCTTCACTATTAAGCAGGCCTGTTATGATAATTTAAAAGTATGTGATTGCTATAGAAAATATTACAATAAACTGTAATGTTGAAACTACTTTATGTCACTGATGCAATAACCCCAAAGTAAAGCAGGAAAATATCAATTAATCTTTTTAAAATTAACAATATCTTGCAATAAATCAGTAGCACTTAGAAACATCACTTTATTAATAAGTAATGGATATTAATTAATCAACTTTCTACAGTTCAAATGTTAATGAACAAGGAAAAAAAAAACATTGTGACAGGCCTAATATTCAGAACTAATACTCATAATTGTGGATTTCAGTTAATCAAGTAAAAAGGCATATTATATGAACATGAACTCGAATAATAATTTAATAAGATCTTCTTTTTCATCATTGTGAAGTTATGTGATCCACTTTAGTGTGTTATGTATGAGCAGGTGTTTGTGTTTTTGGTGAACTGACCCCCTCTAGTGGTGTTCTTTTTACTTTACTTTCCATTTTAAATTCAAGATATGGGCAGGCTTTACCTTTTCAACTTTTAACATGATTTGCAGCCAACAAGAAGGCAATCTTTAACCCCTCCAACACCCAACACTATATCTTGGGAGGAATACATCACAGCTGATAACGGAAAGTAAGTGACACACAGCAGTGATTTATGTGTTGGGTTGTCATGGTAATAATGCATTCTCTTTATTTTATTGCTAATTTAGAGCTCCTCATCTTGGAAGAGAGCTTGTCTGCAAAGAAAGTAAGAAGAACTTTAAAGCTACAATAGCAATGAGTCAAGACTTCCCACTGGGCATTGAATCGTAAGTATTTGGATTTTTTTTATTGTTTTATTTGGTTTAGTTAATTTATGTAACAGAACAAATCTTACAAAGACACATAACAGGGAGAAAAAGGAAGTAAGGTATAAAGGAACAGTTGGGAGAGAAATACACAAAAGCTATTCACACACTTGCCTTTTTATGAATCTTCAGCCATATAACCTTTGCAACTTTGAAATAAAATGTTATTTCTTATTCTCGATTTAGCTTTTGTTTTACAGCATCTGTAGGTGTGAAACGAGAGCTTCTATTGAAGTTCAGTCCAAATGTGTGGTGGTGTTTGGTTGATGTAGTTCCTCCAGATGAGATGCTGTAATGCTCTTTATGGGTTCCTCTGCTGCAGGTTATTAAATGTCCTGGAAGTGATTGCACCGTTCAAGCACTTTAATAAACTCAGGGAGTTTGTTCAGATGAAGCTCCCTCCAGGCTTCCCAGTCAAGCTTGGTAAGTCAACAATGAAACAATTTTATTAAAATGGTAAGAAGAAAAATAATTAAAACAATATGTAACTTTTCCTTTCAGACATCCCTGTTTTCCCTACAATCACAGCCACAGTCACATTTCAGGAGTTTCGCTATGATGAGTTTGAGCCATCTATTTTTACCATTCCCGAGGAATACAAAGAAGACCCTAGTCGCTTTCCTGACCTTTAACTTTGGATCAAAGTAGCACGTACAGAGGGCAGTTCTTTTACTTAAAAATAATTCTAAATAAGGAAAGACAATGAAGCATTAATAAGTATGAACTTTTTAACCACTTGGGCCTGTGAAACAAAAACTCAACATTCAAATGTGAAGAGTTGAGTTTCTCCAAAGCCCATGCAGTCCTGTGTCTGAGTTGCTAAGGGCATTGAAAATCTCTATTTGACCGCAGTTGTGCCGTGTAAATGTTCACTGGGCAAAGATGAGCAGTGAGTCGATGCTATGTATGTAAGTTTGTTTGTATTGTTCATAAAGGGATTGTAATTAAGTGACTATAGTCAATCACTGATGTGTATGAGGGAGGGATTCCACTTCTATAGTTTTCAGCTTGAGGATATTATAGGACATTGCTATAGATCACATTTGGGGTTTGGCAGAAAAACAGAACAAAATTATCTTTTTTCAGGTTTAAAAAGAATGGGGTTTAATTTATAATTTTATTTTATTATCTCCTGAACGTTAGTGATGTTCCAAAGATGTGTCAGCTTTTTCTATGCTGACTGATACTACTTCAGTGAAGTAGATGCTTCATAGATGAAAAGTTAACTTCACAAAATCACAAATTCATTGTATTAAAATGGAGTTGACAGGGCATATAGTGCCTGGACTCTTTATGATGCACTATGGACTCTTCTGTAGTACTGAATTTTATATTGTTCGTCAGTTCAGCCAATGTTGGTAATGCTTCAGATCAATGGTAACAAAGTTCCTAAAGTCCAGCGGTAAAAACAGACCTGCAACTGTAATACATTTGCAGATCTCATTGAGGTTTGCATCCTTTTTTATTTTACAAAAAACTGATCTGCACACAGTATGTAAATACAGTACATATTTTGTGAGAGATACCTTGTCTCATGTTTTATTTTATTTTTTTGAGGGAAAATATGGATTTCTGTGTAGGTTGTTTACTTAAATTAGTGAGCTGTTGCTATTTTGTACATACTTGTATTGTTTTCACAATGTTTTTTTTTTCCTTTGTTTGAAAACTTTTAATGTGTGGGTGCAACGTATTTACAGTAATGTAAAAAGCACAAAGAAATGTCCATTTTAAATCTAAGATAACATTGGATCTACTGTGTCCTTACATCTGCTGCTATGGCTTTTGAGCCTCACTGTGTGGATACAATGTTCCTCTTCAGATGCTCCTTTGGTCTTTTTTAAACTAAAGGCACAACTACAAAGAACAAGGTATTAAATTACTGACATTTGATCGGTTTCTCCTCTGTTTATTTTTTGTCTGTTCTGACCCAGATATTGGGTATGTGCCTACACACTAAAAATTGTTTGAAATTTACTCTAGAATGAGTCACCATCCATGTCAATTGTACAGCAAAACTGTAAAAGTCTGCTACACTATTTTTATATATAATACTAAAAATAAAACCCTACATTCAACATTGAGTCAGTTGTCACTGTTTAAAAAAAAAAACATGCATTACATAATCACTTTTATTCTTCTCATTATAAAAAAACAAAAACCTAGAACACATTTCATTGCAGCATTTCAACAAGCTTACATGGACAATACAAATTCTTGTACATACAAAGGAGCTCCAGCACAAGTCAGTGCATTACAGTAAAGCAAATTTGTTCAGTAAACAGCAAGAGAGCGTACAGTGCCCAAACGTGACACGATCTTGACACCATTACTGATAGTGTGTTCTGGATGTTGGACAAAAAGCAACACATACCAACTGCTTTATTTAAAAAAAACAAAACTATTTAAAACCCAGTTTTAACTTTCATCCCTATTCTCCAAGACACCCAGTTTTACAATTTAAAACATTACTTTTGTGAGGTTATTAAAAATATCAAAGCAGTAGTTGGACAGTGGTAATTCAGTCAGTCACTCATCTCCATATCCTCCTGCTGGTGATCGTCACCATTTAACTTTGACTTTTTAGAGGCTTCAGTTTTGTGGGCGTTCCCTTTGGGAGAGGAGTTTGAGTCTGAATCACTTTTTCTCTCCTCGTCATCCTCTTCCGCTTCTTTTTCACTGTCGTAACCTTGTTCTTCTTCATCATAGTCCCGCGTCACCTGTCAACAAACACTAGAAGTAGAATAATTTTGGTCTAACACTTGGTCAAAGCATGTGAAACTATTTCTATTATTACGTGGAAAAAATCTTAAATTGAGTCATACAAACCTTTACGTCTCCCTTCTCACTGTCAGATTTGCGCTCTCGATCTCTCTCCTTGTCTTTACTTTTCTTCTTCTTGCTGTTTGAGCGCTCCCTCTCTCTCTCGTCTCTGCTTCGGTCTCTGTCCTCCCTTCTGTCACGCTCTTTTTCACGCTCCTTGTCTTTCTTCTTTTCTTTTTTATGGCTGAATACAAATACAATTGGAGACAGAGCTTGAAACATTTTTATTTTTACTTTTCCCACTGATTAATCAATCATATTTCTGCTGGAATTTCTGTACTGTTCAGACAAATACTGACCGTCTGGGGGATGGCGATCTGGAAGGCTTTTTCCGAGGTGAGCGAGATGCACTGCGGCTTCGTCTGTGCTTCCTAAAAAGGAGAAGTTAAAACAAACCCACAGCTTCTTTTGAAAAGCTTTGGTTATTTTTTTTTTCCACTACTCACCGACTGATACTTCGGGATCTTCTAGCACTGCTGTAGCTTTTAGGTGGTGTCTTAGATCGCTTTTTAGACTTCTCCTCTTTCCTTCTGTCCCTATTAAGGTAACATTTATTTTTCTCACTGTTTTATAATAAAAACAGTGAGAAAAATGATAAATGTTACCTTAATAGGGCACTGTTTTATAATAAAAACAGTGCCGTTAGACAGAAGAGGTACCCACCTGGAGCGACTGCGGCGACCTCTGTCTCGTGAGTGGGACCTCCTCCGCCTTGGACTCTTGGACCTCCTTCTGCTCCTGGAATGAGACCTGCGTCGTGACCGACTCTTTGACCGCCTGTCAATAAAAAAAACAACTGAGCTTAATTTCTTTGGGGGAGTGGTGTCAGCATTTTATCAATGCCAGTTTTTACCTGTGCCTGGAACGAGACCTGGACCTCCTGCGGCGTGATCGTGAACTGGAGCGGGAATGCTTACGTTTGTCATCTTTTTTGCCTTTTAACACAAATGAGCGTACATTGAAACTCAAATATTGCAGTTGAATTCTGTGAAAAATATGAATTAATTCATATGAATAATTCAGCAAAAATCAAGTATTTACTTCCTGGTTCAATGGCAGCCGATATCAAAGACTGAGCCTCTCGTACTCTCTTCATTGCTTCTTCAATCTCCTTGCTGGTGGCATCTGTCTTTAAGCCTGGAGTTAAGCCAAGTCCTGCTAAAGGATTCAATCTGGAAAGGGCATCAGTTAGCAGTTTTTTTTTTCGTTTTTTTTTGTTATTTTTTTGAAGATGCAGTCTTACTTAGGGTCAATTGACTGCATAAGCTTGAGGAAATCTGCAGACAGAGCCTGAAAATGAAAAGTAGTCATATTTCATTTTCATGAAGCACACAAAACCTGTCCACTAAACTGGTCCTTACCTGAGGGTTCATATTAGGACCTTGGAATCCCATTGCAGCCATTTGTTCAATGGTTGGTAGACCAAATGCTGACGCTCCCATCTGTAACACATTTTGTGTGGTACAAGTAATGTGTTAGAATCACTGATATTGTTACAGCACAAAGCACTCACTGTTGCTAAAGGATTGGGTGTGGGGAGAAGTCCTCCTCCAGGCATCATCCCTGCCACAGCATTGGCTGGAGCGAGCAGCGACATAGCTTTAGATTCATCAGGAATCACTCCTGGAGAACAGAAGGAATATTTCAAAATGGACTCAAGACAACACAGACAACTTTCTTGCAGACAAGCCACCCCCGTCTATCTACTCTATTGTAAAACATTAAGGACATCCACTGAGTCTTGTCTGTAAATCCTGCTCCCTGACTTTTGTGTGAAGCATCATTGTAGGATTAGCAGTTATGTTTTAATTCACAATACACATTGTGGTCAACACTGCCAAGATTTTATCACCTGTACTTGAATTTTAAGTCATGAACCAAACGTATGCAAGCACAGCCAGTTGTCCCGCGGGATGTGCTCTCAACTTTCATTAGATGTTTTATGAACAATCGACTCACGCCGGCTGCTTCGCTATAAAGCACACAAAAACATTGAGATACAAAAAACAAAGTTGATTTAGGTGGAGACAGTAGGGCACATTTCAACATCTCTTACTACCAGCATAAAAATAGCAAATTTGTTGGTGGTCTGTATTTAATATTTCCACTGCAAAAAATACTTACTTAGTAACCAGATTATAATGCAATTCTTACCCATGATTAACCCACAACAGCAGAAACTAACTATAGAACTATAGACCTGTTACTAAGCCACGAAAAACTATATCTGAACAATTTAAAATAACTCTGCTTTATGAAGATAGTGATCTATATGGAATCTGAAAATTATATTTTGGGGGATGAAGAGAGAGGAAGACACATTTGCGTGCACACGCACACACGCACACACACAGTCAATAGAAAGGACACTTGAGAAACAGGATAAGGCTGCAGTAGAAAAAACTGTTGGTGGCAATGTCAGCGGCCTGGTATATAGGGTTGGCTGAACCAGGAAAAAGAACTGTAAAACACAACAACAAAAGAAACACCACTGTTAAATGTCAGATTAATTTTCTGCTTTTGGAGAGACTCAAAAAGAAAAGTGATGGCTCATATCTTTAAGAAGTCATATAGACAGATTTTATTTGTGTTTTTCTTTTGATGTCTGCTCAATGCAAACTTGATGTCCTGGCAATTGGTCTTCACATTATTGTAAAAGTATGCAAGCGCTTGAAACTATTTATTATTGCAGTAGCTAATGAAGCACTACCAGTAATTACAGACATTTTACCTGTTGCCAAAAAATGTCTAATTCTTCCATAATTTATTGACCAGGAACATCCCAGATGCATACTTATGTGCCTTACGATCATTATTTTTGATCTGAAAAAGTGTGCCTAGTGTTGTGTTAATAATCAAACAGCCCTGAACAAAAAAAATAAAATACTGTTCTTTTGTTTACTGGAGAAAATAAGAAGGCGGTTGCAACCCTGATGGCAATATTTCTGTTCTAATCTCTTGATGGCAGCAGAGGACCGCTTTCAGCCAGCAAGGAAGGGCTCTCTGCAAAGGACTCCACTATGAAAACCGAAACACAAATAACAGAGAGAGAGAGGTTTACAGCTAGTCTGCAAGACATTGGACACAAATGTAACTTTCTTTTCAAAACTATCCTATTTTGAGGCATGACATAGCTATTGTTTGGTAAAAAATAAAGTGTTTCAATACATTGTTTTATACATTTTGTCAGCTGTATTGGGAGATTTAACACCCACCTTCTGCAAAGGGAACCACGATGAGGGCTCTGTCCACAAAGACGGTGTTGGTCAGGTGCTGGGACACTCCCACCGACTCTGGCTCTTGGAACTTTACAAAACAGACACGTGAAGTCACAGGCATGGGAGAATCACTGGAAGAAAACACACACAAGTTGGGCAATCGGAAACAAGAGACAAGAGACCATCTGCTGACAAGAGTTTACAAGTGAAGATGACACCAACGTTATAAGCTTTATAGATATTCCTACCTGTGGTCACTCAAGGCCATTTCTATTAGAATTATGTTAATAAATAGTATAGCAGGAGAAACGAAATGCGTGTCACCACTTGCATAAGGTTAGGTTTAAAATCTGTTTGGTAAGTTTCATACTACAATTACAGCACGAACTAATTTGATATGTCCCCTGACAGAGGACACACAGGTCTAGTACACAGATATATAATATGATCATATCATAGGTCCATAGTCTAGTTCCAGCATGGATCTTCCATCATAGCCCGTCACGCATATTTGGGCTTTAGGCGGGACTGGAGCTGCTACAATAATTTAAACCTAGATCAGTACAGAATTACAGATCACCGTGTGATTATGTTCTCAGTTACATATCACATTGCACGTGCTTGCAGTATATAGGATGTAAGAGGGGAACTAAACACAAACGAAAGGGCTAGCATTAGCGAAAGATCCAACATGGAGCTGATGTTGACGCCAGGCCTCAGAAGGAGTCTGGCTTTACGTTGTTATGTGATGCTTACATGACCGTCACACTCATCATACTCACTCCGGTGGAATCAGCTTGAGCTCCTCTATGGTCCCGAGAAACCCGAACAAGGTTCGCATTTGTTCAGAGGTGGTGCTGGGAGACACGTTGGTCACCTGAATGACGCGCGTGTTTGAACTCATTTTACAGCCGTCTTCAGGCGCAGCAAGCTGCTGTTCCACCACAAGTGTCTGCAATAAAAGGGTAAGCAGTCACCCGGTCGTCTTTGTAAAGGAAAATGCGAAATAAACAGTCAGTATTCGCTACTGCGGACAAGTAGGCCTACGCCTTTGCTGTGTCCAGGGTTGCCAATACCGTGTGACAGTTTTCAGCTAAGAGGTCATTGGCGGACAATATCCGGAAAACAAACAGAACAACGGAAACTCCACAAACCTGGCAACAGGTTCACTCTGCGTCAAATACGCTTATATATATGTATATATATATATTTTTTTTTCGTTATGGGTTTAGATGTTAAATAACAATACGTATATAGTGAGTGAATGGACTAACTCTTTTTTCTATCAGAGGAACAAAAAAATAATAATAATAATTATAATGATAAAAAATAAAGACGACAAGCGTGATGACCTCTGTGGGCGGGGCCATATTTATGTCAGAGGCTGCTATGTTGCTAACTCTGCAGGCATTATCATGCGAGTGTTTTTTAGAGCAGTTTGCCATCGTTTGGATCTATAACAATGAATATGCAGAGACCGAAACTAGTCATCCATAGGTAACATGCATTTGGTTTGGTGCTTGCATTTGACATAATATAAATTGACGGGGGTTTAATCTAAGCGCTGGTCCTCGGTTAGCATCCCTGGGAGCCTTGTGCATGTCAACAGGTTGTATTGTGCCATCCTGTTCCACTTTCTTTTTGCTAGTCAAAGCAGATTTAGATTTTTCCTATAAAATGCACAGGTAAAAATTTCCAAATTATGTGATCAAGATGCCCATGAGAAGTAGACATCTCCAAGTAATGGTAAGAAACGCATGTGTATGCCTATGTATGTATGTATATGTATGCGTTTAACTCCAGTCATAAGTTGTTGTACTTAAGGTGCTCTAAAGATAGGTCTCTCACAACAATATTTTTAATTAAATTTACAAAGTCATTAAAACTGCAATACGCAAATACACAAATAGAGCATTTACTGAACAAGTCTAGTAAATATTATGACAGGCTTAGGTCATTATATATATATATATATATATATATATATATATATATATATATATATATATATATATATTATTTATTTATTTATTTTTTTTACAATATATAATGTGTTGTATTTTGCAGGTCTGTGAATGGAAATGTATGCAGGGCTGATTTAAGCAACATGGTAATCCAGTCTTCTTTCATTCCACCCTTCTCATGACATCTATAAAGAAGGAATGGGCATCCTCAGATTTGTGGCCAGAATCATGGGAAGGATCAGTACATTTAGATCCTATCAGTTTGTGGTTCTTCTGGCTGCTGCTCTGGCTGTTGTAGCCTTTTACTACTTTGGCACAGAGAGGCAAAACTTTTCCACCACTACCAAACGTATTAAACAAACCCAAGCGAACCATAACTCCAACAGGAACGATGCAGATCTAACTGTGGACACCAAATTCACCCCTTCATCGGGATCTGTGGAGCATGGAGTTGAACGCAATGGAGAAGCAAGAAATCCACAGACTGAAACCGGGAAAAGGAACAGTGTGATAGCTGGCCAACATTACCATGCGCTAATGATGTTTACTAAAGTGGATAAGAGTCGGAGCCTGCAGGATAAGTTCAAAGTGGCCATGTTATCAATGGTAAAGCATGCGCACTTTGAGGATGGTGAAGTACTAGTCCTACATTTTGTCAGTGACCCAGCGAGCCAGGAATTGGGGAAAAGCATGCTTCAGGAATTTTTAAAAGATGCAACATTTAAATATGAGGTAGGTCCTGTTCTGCATATAAACAAACATAACCTTATGTTAAAAATTGTTTTTTTCTAGCCAATTTTGTGCATGGCATTTAACATATTTATCTTCATGTAGACAATATGGTGACCCTATAGCTCTGAGGATAGGAGAACCCCACTCACAATTATAATTATTTTCTTTTTGAGCATCTGTAACAAAAAAGGCTAAAGCCAAAAGAGGTTAAAAGTTTACTGCCATACCGTGGAACATTCTAGACAAAGTATTAACACAAGCACTAACAGATCCCCACCAGCAGTTAAAATCAACACAAGAGGGCAGTATTAGTCTTACTTTCCTCTGTGTTCGTTTGCCAAAGGAGAGGATCAGATGCGTCTTGTTTTCAGGTAATACACTGTCCTAATTTTCTGCCTTTGTGTGCTTCATAAAGCTCAGGCTCTTAAACTTGTTTAGAGATTATTTATCCCATCTCATCAACTTCATCGCCAACGCCCTTTTACTCATGATTGCTCTGTTGCTTTACCTAAATCTGACAGAATAAAAAGGTGTAGTGGTATTTTTTCAATATTTTATGTAATGTTTATAGACAATAGAAAAAGGATGAACTATTGGCTTTTTGTGTAAAAACAGCATAATTGTCATACATTTTATTGGTTTGATTCTTATTTATACAAGGACCATCAAGATGTAAGTTTTCAAGACATTTCTTGGGTACTAATATCAGTGTAGAGATACCTCTGCCAGAACTACAAATCCTGCATCTAGACATTCCAATTCACACAAGTTTATGGTCATGGAATATCCATGACTGTTCCTGTCCACTGCTGTAAGCTCGATACAACACAGATGTCATTCTGTGGATGCCACTGTGAGGGTCAAAACCAGTGCCTCTAGCTATGCTTAACAAAATATTGTTTTGTAACTCTTGCACCATTTCCTGTTCTTACATAAAAACATAATTTTATTTGCAATGTAAAAGTTCACATCTTCTCCATGTTATTAGCCTCAAGGTATCCATATGTTAGCCTTTGAAATGCTCAGTTTCATACATTTTATCAACCACATCTAATCTGTAACAGTGGCTGTCCATTTTTGTGGTGTTAGATTTTATCTTATTAAGTGTTACTGTGACTTTATTGGTTTACATGTGAAATAGGTAGACAAACATTGAACACAATGTCAAACTGTAGCAGATAAAGGAAAAAAACTGACAGAAACAAACACTAAACCGAAAACAGACCCGCAGTTATTTTTCCCAAGGACAAAAACTTTGTGAATCAAGGGTTTAGATTTTCATTCTTGCCAACTTTATCCTTAGTAATTCTCGAAGTGCATTCTTCAAAGTCAACACTTGCCAAAGTCTTCACAAAGGACTTTCTGCTTAGTACTCAGAGCATAAACTTTCTCTTCATTACCAGACCTCACCAATCTCTGACAAATGCCTCTGTTAAAAGAAAACACGTATGCACTTTATTTATGAAACTTTTTTTTTACAAAAATCAACATCATGTTATATTGATGCATTATTTATAAATGTGCATTAAACTTACCCTGCTTTCTTAATAAATTATTTAGATGAAATCTGTTAAAGGTATAATTTGTTAGACTCTCTTTGAAATGCAGTTGCTCAATGTCTGGATCTAACTTAAGTTATTTTTAACAATCCTTACAATCTTAACTATTATCTTAATGTACATATTTTGGCACTTTGATTAGGTTACAATAGGTAAAATAGGCTTGAAGCCATTGAGTTCAATGTTTACAAACAGTCCACATGATATAGTATTTAAGATGGAGAACGAGCATGTTTTCACACATGAAGTGATGAAGTGAAGGCAGGTCTAAGTTATGACCTACTTTGTAAAATCACATGCATATTGTCAGGATTATCTAAAGCCCTTTACACATACTGATGTTGTCAGACTTAACCAGGAATGGCCAGTAGCTTTCAGCACTTTACGCTCAGAACATGTGTTTTCATTTTCCCCTGGAAGGCTTTGAAAGTCTGTGTTTACTGCTTACTCAATAAAAATCCCTCTTAATCTGCAGAAATACTGTATATTGTGCAATCTCATGCCAAACTGTTATTTAAGTCTTGTATGCCTTGGTGAATTCTTGTTACAATAATTCAGCAGGTAGAGCCGATACCCATAGTGTGAGGTTGTTTTTTTTACACTTAATAATACCATAGTTTAAGTATGATTCAGGCTTGGTATTTAAAGGGCCTATATTACACCATTTTCTGATCTGTTGCTTCCTCATCAAAAATATAACTGGAGTTGTGTTTTGTTTCATTCACATAGCAGTAAGTCTAACACACAAGTACTGCACATTTAGGCACTTCTCTCAAACATAAGTCTCTGTTCCACCTTGTGATGTCTTGTGGTAATGCAGGAAGTGCTTTTAAAACTCAATACACATTCACATTCATCATTTTATCTGAACAAAAGGTAAAAAGTGTATGTTAATTTGAAAACTGCTGCTTTATGACATCACAATGTAAAACCGCATTTTGAGCCTGAGATGTAAACAGACTAATGCAGGATTGCTCAAACATTTGTGAATGAAACCAAACATAACTCAATTTTGTGTAATTCTTTGAATATTTTTTTATAATTTGTGATTGTACTAAGGATAATTAAGGTCTTCTTATTATAACTACTGGCATTTGATACTGCTGTTCTTTGGCAAGACACTCAGAATTTAAAAGTGGTACCACAGGCAGTAATGAAAATGCTCTCTGTTCCATAGGTGTTATTTCACAATGTGGTGGATCTCACACATAAGCTGTTCCCCATCGTGGAGGCCATGCAGAAGCACTTCAGCGCCGGGTCTGGAGCATACTACAGCGATGCCATCTTCTTCCTCTCTGTGGCCATGCACCTCATCATGCCTCAAAGTAAGACCCATAAAGTTGTGATAATAATGGTCAAGATGAAGCAATACTATTTAAGAATGAGTTGATATGCAAGATTTTGAGTATGCCCAATCTGCAAAAATCTATGTATATGGTAGAGGTTCAGTTTGTTTGTGACTAAATTGCCATTGTTCAGTGTATTGCAGCCTTTCCAAGGCCCAATGTAGCTGCCACCAATTAATGAGAACAAATGCAGATAATCATGGAGAATAATGAAGAGACAACAAGGTTTAAGTATATCAGAAATTTGTTTTCAGTGTCTGACCTATCCTCCAATGCCACTGGGGCACTACCATAGCTGGAGGACTTTTTGTATCACGTATGTTTTGATTTTATATTTGATAACTGAAGAGATTTAGCAACCACTTTATATAATCAAGCAAAGTTACTGTGATGACGTGATCCACTGTTGGCTGAGATCATGCTTGTGTAGCTCACCCTTGATGATGCAGGTTCACAGCTGGACTGCAGCAGTATGGCACGCTGCCAGACGGCACGTGTCACTCCGCAGAGTCCCGGGGATTTGGGCAGGAGGTGACCTGCTGCTGCCCACATTACTGCCCCCTGTGCCCGCTGACCAATACAAGCGCCACTCTGTGATGCTGTTTTGGTCCCATTCAGTGGGTGTGCAGCAGTGTTTTGGTCTACAGACAGTCCTGATAATTAAGCTTTGGATCGATAGTTACCCGAAGGACCAAGATGCCCTCTGACTGCAAAAACATGTCGTCAGAAAACAAAAATACAAGATTGCTTCAAAAACGTTTTTTCTTTGTAGTTTTCAAGTATAAGTTATTTTTGTTGTAATACAAAAACATGTGAGCTGTAGAGGTTTGAATAAGTCACTCCTGTGGCTGATTATTGCATCTTCCTGTTATTTATTTGTTGAAGTTTAGGCCTAGGATCATCTTTGTGTCTGTGACATAAAGTAGTTGCAATATTAATGCTTATAGGAATATTGTCCTGTATATCGTGCATAAAAATGTGTTATCGTGACAGGCCTAATGTTCACCACCAGTTTATACTTCCGTAGCTTGTCTGTTGAACCACAAGGCAGCATTGTAGTTTTGGAGGTGTCTTAACTCTTGAGCCTCTGTGACTCTGTTAGGACTCTGGAATGGTCATTTCACCAGTTTGTAATATATGAAAGAGCTTCATTAGGCATACTTCAGATCTAAAAGGTGTTTTGTGTAAGCACCGGCTGTGACGTGTACAGCTGTTTGAACTCAAATCCCACCACATGTGAGTTTAAATCCATATTGATCGTCCACATGTGCCACCGGTCGGCTGAATCCGAGTGGCTCACGTTTCTATTAAAAGCCGGCTTTTATCTCTAAAAGGGCATTACGCAAAAAGAGTGGGCTGCTGCACAATCTTTTCTTATTTTTACACCATGCAGAACCATTTTCAATAAAACTATTCTCCATCTAGCATGACACATTCGAAATTATTATTTACGTTTAATGACAAAATGGACTCATAAGTGAGGAAACTGAAAGGACAGCTACAAAGTCACTTTGACTGTACATTATACATAACGATAATGTGTAATGGTATAGACTGTGTGAAGTACTATGAAGTACAGGAGAAAGCAAGAGATATAAATCAGCAGAGTAACCAGTGCCAATGAAGAATCCATTTGTATCTAAAAATATATTTCACATCCAGTATTTCAGTCACACATTGCTCTTAGTAAGCCACCTCAGACACTGTTTTGTTACATTAATGTGTTACATGACTTTGGACCCCCACTAGAGGTACAAGCATGTCTTAATGTGAGCCTACAAGAATATTTTCCAAACATAATAGGAATAAGTGTGCCAGAGCCACTCTTGAGAACAAGACACAACATTACCTTGAGATGCGCACCGTACATGCAAAAATATACATTTTGAAAGTAGCCAATAATGTTTGATGAAATATTGTAGTTTGATCATTCCAAACATTCCTGGTTGTATACATTTATACACTGTATATATGGTGCCTCCTAAATGCACATCTCACACGTGGCCAGGTGTAAAAACTCAATTCTGATGACAATTTCATTCACGCCACTTATTTTTCAGTGCTTTTACAAAATGGCAATTTTACAAGCAACAGAAGGAGCTTTTTTTTAGGGTCACGTTTAACATTACATTTTCAGTTGATTGAAGCCTATTACTTAGTGTACTTTTTCTTTGCACTATTTTGGTAAGATTTTAGCCATACAATTTTGAATAAATAACCTCTATGGCTCATTAGAGATTCAAACTAATCAACAATAATTTTTTCACAATATTGTAGATTTAGTTTTGTAGTTCAATTCTGCTCTTGGGTTATTGTGTCAGTGGCATACATTTGTTTCAGTATTATTGTTTATCACCTATATTTACTTCATCAATATATCACACTTCAGAATACGTTATGGTGACAGGCCTGGGTACAACCATGAGTCCTGTCAGCATGATTAGATGCTAGCACATACTGTATATTGGTAGAGTTATACTGCTGCTGTTTTGCTAAAATTAATACAATATTTGTTTTCTTTTAATGCTGCAACTAGCAGTTACTTTTATTGTACACTGGGAATTTTACATTTTAACCTGTTAAGACAAAAAATATGCTGATTGAAGGCTTCTGAATAGAATAAAGTGAACAATTGATGCAAATCAATTTATGTGGCCATACCAGCTTGTGAAGGCCTGATCCCGTCAGATCTCAGAAGCTAAGCAGGCTGGGCCTGGGTAGTACTTGGATGGGACACCGCTAGGAATTCCAGGTGCCACAGTGGGGCGCCAGTGGTGTTGTGTCCTTAGGCAAGACACTTCACCCACATTGCCTAGTATGAAAGTGGTGTGAGCGTGAGTGATGGTGGTGGTCGGAGGGGCCGATGGCGCAGATTGGCAGCCTCGCTTCCGTCAGTCTGCCCCAGGGCAGCTGTGGCTACAGTAGTAGCTTACCACCACTGAGTGTGGAGTGACTGAATAATGAACTGTAAAGCACTTTGGGTATCTTTAAAGGCGCTATATAAATGCTATCAATTATTAATTATTATTAAATCAGAAATTATTTATTCTGTTTTAATAGTGCAGCTGTCTTTGTTATAAAATGTCTTTTGGCCTGTGTTTTAGAGACTGTACACTACTAATGATCATCAAAAATGATTAGTAATTAATTGCACTTATTTTGTTTAATCATTGCAGCCCTACCATACCCAGAGGGACAGATTTTGTCAAACTAAATTGTTTTTTTCCTTTATGAAAACACTACATTGCGATGACAATTTCTGTGTCTTTGTTTCTGCATTGACAGTGTTGTCTCCAATGTTTCTATGGGAAACAAGTCAATACAAAATAATTCCCATAAACTGAACAGAAGAACAGAATTTCTAGAAGTTTCTCATTTCAATGAGCAGACACCAAGCCCACCGACTCACAGTGCAATATCTCACTGTATAAACCCTCTTTCCTTTTACTGGCACATGATAAGCCCTGGACTAAAGAAATGTCTCACACCCTTTGAAAATACTGAGCTGAGCCTCTCTGTTGCTACAGTGCATAAAGACCATTATAAAGACACAGTGACAAGCCACTTCCTTGTTTGGAGAGCACAGGCTACTGTCGGTCATGGGGAAATTTCTCTCTCTCTCACACTGAAACAGACTGCAGTGTGACCACAGACTGTATATGACCCCAGTGTAAATTTGTCATGGCTGTATCACCAATATATTTTTTAAACAATACAGCAGCAGTTTTCTATAATAAATACATAACAACTGTGATTAAAAAATTATTATTTTTTTAAATCTGACAATTTACTTGTCAGGCCCCATCAGTGAAATGGCTAGTGCCTCTTTTTTGTAGCTCTGCAGAAGACTGTACAAAAAGGGGAAATTAATTTTATAAAAACATATTTTTGTCAACTTGGATGCCAACCCACAAAAGCACTAATTTATACTTTGCACTTCTTACCGTTGCATATTTAGTTCTGCATTTCTTTTCAGAAAGTATTTAAAAGCATCTGTGAGGGAACTTAATGTGAACTAAACACACAGGCCCATAAAGTGCACTTAAAGGTGGAGTAACTTCAGATGGATGGTCAACTACCTGCTTGTCTCTGTGACCACCATGCACTTTTACTGTTAGCAAGCTCATCTCTCCACAGATCTGAAATGAAACTTGGCCTTGTGGTGTCACCTTCTTGTCTTCATGAAGATAGAATAGCAATAACATCTCCATGGAAACAAAAAGGTGACATACGCTCCACCAGAAAAGTTACTTATGCACCTTTTAATTGAGATGTTTCATGTAAATAAAGGTGTACTGCATAACCTTTCTAGTGGAAGGTCTGCCACCTGCTTGTCTCCATGGAAATGTTATTGCTTTGTGTAGAATGTTTCACAGTATAGATTAAACCTATCTATCACAAGGGAGACAAGCGGGTTACAGCACTACGCTACATTACACTGTATTTTTGAGCAAATGAAAATAAATGTAATGAATAAAAGCTAGATGGATATTTTTAATGTCATACCATCCCAGGGAAAGTAATAACATCTCCATGGAGACAAGTAGGTAGATTACCATCCACCAGAAAAGTTGCACAGTACACCTTTAAGTTGCAGAGATCCAAAATATCCTTGAATAAAGCAGCACAATGTGTGAAATGCCATAACCTATTGCATTGACTTTTATGATCTTTGTCTTGGGGAACTGTGGCTCCCTCATATATCAGTCCTTTGTTCCCCATGTACTCAACCTGTCAGCAGCCGCACACATCCCGTCTGCCCACTACTGTCAAATCAGCTGTGTTCCTTTGCCCTCAAACTATTGTCTTTGACTGAAAATAATATGTTTTTGTCACATCAATTAGGTTAAACTTCTCTTTCTATGCCCATGCTGGCTGGAGTATTTCCCATCTTTTCATTGCCATAGCAACAAGCAAAACATAGGAAGCTAGAACAATGAGCACATGAAGTCTGCACATCCTGGTTGTTACTATTGTACTGTCAGAAACTAAACCCAGATGCTGTTGATCACTGTCAGCAGCTCAAGAATTGCCTTTATTTAATATGATTTTATTTTATATTATTTTATTATATCCAGGGCCAGCACTTGGAACATTTCTGCTGCATTTTTCCTCAAGCTTTCCTAATAATTTAATAAGGGACTGCATCACTAGCTTCTCCTATTAAAATCAGATGACCATGTTGTTTGAACAATAGTGGCTGGTGGGTTTCATTAATTTATTTAATTAACTTTATTTGGGGTAACTGACATGATGCAGTTAGTATTTAGTTTGGAGAAGATTGAATGTTTGCCATGTGCTAATCATTGTACAAATTTAAGGCTAGTCTTCAACATTACTGAAAGAAGTGAAAAACTATTGTTTTTACTGTAGCTATGTTGGAGACAAATTACAATATTTCAATAATTACATTTTAAAAAGAGGAAAATTTGAGAGAGAGCCAAGCAGGAACAGGTCATACTGACCTGTGTAGTGCAAACAAAGAAACCCATTTGATACTGCTTTTTGTTTATGTATGTATTGTATTATATATGTAATATTTGAGTGATTGTGATTAGTAACATGGTCAGATCCATTGACCTACAGGTTGGCAGTGCGATTCCTTAATGTAAAGCTTTGAACATGGACAAGCGTTATATAAAAAATATGACCATGTGACCTGACCTTGGCTAATTTACTCCTTGCCATTGCCTTGCCATCGTGGCCATAGCGGCTTGTCAAGCCTGATCCCATCAGATCTCAGAAGTTAAGCAGAAGTTACCATTATTATTATTAATTAAGCCCCTTCTCCATATTTACTTAAATTCTGTTTAATTATTATTTGTTTTGTTCTGTTAACTACAGATCTAACCCGCATTGTGCAGCTTGACCTGGACCTTAAATACAAGACCAACATCAGGGACCTTTTCCAAGAATTTGACCACTTTCCACGTGAGGCTGTAATAGGCATTGCCAGAGAGATGCAGCCTGTGTACAGGTGAGTGCAACGCTAAAACTGTACTGACCACACCACTTTCACAGATAATCTGTAAACAGATGACTGCGTGCATTCACAGTTGTCCACTGAACTAGTTTGGTTCTGATTTGGTTCTGGTTTGAGCCAAGTCCAGTCCTGATGTAGACATGGTTTGGTCCTCTTCTAGTCCAGATTTAGTCTTGTGTGGTCTAGGTTTACTTCCAGATTTAGTTCCAGGTTTAGTCCCAGTTTATTTCAGATTTTGAGAAGTGTGAATGCATCCTAATTTAAACTGTCATACTTTGCATGATTTGTACGATTCTACTAGTGCATATTATTATCTTAATATTTTGGGGTTTAAATGTAGCATACAGACAATGAGAGAAACGTTCAAGCTGTAAGAAAGTGACATAACAGCATAATAGTGTAACATTGTCCATACTTTAAAGAATGCGTCTATCTTAATGCCAATTCTTTCTCCATGGGAAACAAAAAAATATCTTTGTTCTAGAGATGGCTAGAAGTTTGTTTTGGCTCAGACATTTTATACTTTGAGAAATTACAAAACTTTGCCCTTTTGTTCCCATAGTGATTGTTAAATATTCACTGACTGCATAGTGACAATGCTACAGCAGAGGCTTGTCAATTTCTAGTGCAATTTGTCTTATGACCATTTATTAATATTGATGTGTATTTTATTTCTAATAAACTGAATTGTTTTTTGTGTCATATGGAAAATTGGTGTAAACAAGCCACTTAGTCTGAATCCCTTGGTGAATTTGCTAATTTTCCTTTCTTCACTTTGATATGCAAGCAAACATGGTTGCACCATTTTCCATTCTTGTCAAGCATCAAAACAGGACGTCACTGTGTTGTGTATGTGTGTGGACAGGTATTTATCACATGTGGGGACTTAAATCTGTCTACACACTCACATCATGGGGACCTGCCTCCCTTACGGACCCAAAAATCAGGTCCTCCATGACGTAAATCCTTTATTAGATCAACAACATGGTTTAAAGCTCAGATGTAGGTTAAAATAGGTTACGATTAGGGTTCAGGTTAAGTTTAGGTAAGTAGTGACTGTGGTTAAGTTAGGATCTGACTCTAGGAAAATGAATATAAGTCACTGTAATGTTCCCAAGAAACATCAAAACCCAACAATTGTGTGTAGGTGTGCGTGTGTGTGTGTATGTGTGAGAGGGACAGTGGGTCTGCAGGGAGAGAGCCCTGTAGCAGCAGCTTTATCAGTGTAAATACTCAGACAGGTGTCTTCCTCCAGAGCCTGTAGTGTGTTTTGTTGGAAAGATTAATAGACAAGTCCTTATGAGATATTTTATGTAATCCATTGTTATTGTTATGGGTCAGTACAGGGCAGTGTGCTACAGGCAAAGGAACATTTGACTGTGTATCTTTATTCCATGGCTATTTCGTTGAGTCACAAAGCCACAAGATCTGTCTGTCTCACAAATGTTATAACTTTATTACTAAAGTAGTTGGAGAGTATTAAGTGTACAATACTGTTAAGCACAGGATTGTACTGTGGGACATTTTTGCCTTCAGGCTTTAACTGATTTCCATGTGCTCCAGCCACAAAACTCAAGTCATTCTGGGAAACCCCTGCTAATTTTATTTCACTTTACCTTCAAGTGTTCAAAACTCAGTATAGCGTGACCTTCAGTGTTACTGCATAATGTCTCACCATGTCACCAAGAGCAGTGGTGGCATACAGAGCAGTCTTTACAGAGCAGTCTTTGAGGAGCACAGTTTTCCAGCACATTCCTGGATTTTCAAGGAAATTAAAATGTGTTGACATGATTTTTTAAGAGCAATTTTACATCACTGAAGATTGAAGGATATTGGTTTTAATCTTGAAGAGTTTAGAGGAAAATGGAATGATTAAAAGTGTACCAGAGATCTTCTGTAGCCTTATGAATACCTGTTGTATAATGCATTGATATAGTGTATTTATCTCTTTGAATAGTTGGTATTCACCAGATTCTGTTAATGTGATTGTGTATTAGCTGTCATATACTCCCAGACGAAGAGTGCGGAGCCTTTCCACTGTTTCCTGTCAGAAGTGCTGCAGGCTCTAGCAGTTTGGGTGCTAATGGACACAGCATTATGCAGCAGAACACATCCTCCCACCAGCCACATTCAGAGCACATCCTGCCACTGAAAAGTTCATTATTGGAAAAAGCCCTATGTCTTCCCCTCCAGCTGCAGTTGAAATGTTTTAAAATCCCACAAGACTGGACCCACTTACATAAGCGTCACCACAAACAGCAGCAACTACACATTGTAGCCTTGAACTGTTCACTTTATTCAAATTCCTATGTGCTTCAGATTGTGATTTTGATCTCACCAAATGTTGTAATATTGGCAAGTAATGGAAAAGAATCAGTTCCTACATTGCTACATGACTATCCATTGGTCATGCACACCTGTGACCCTATCTTGCCCCTGATCTTAGCACTAGTGCTGGCATTAAGGAGGGGGTGTGTCCAGGTCAGACTGTAATTCGCTGCTGGAGGCAGGAGTGGGACGGTATAAGTACATATATCGTGATGGCATCTGAACCAATCTGTGACCGCTGTGGCATTTAAAAGCACTGCCAGTGTAGGTAAAGTCTGCAGTCTTTCCCTTATTATCAGGCAGCAAAGAGGGGTGTGGAAAAAATATATATTAAACAACCCAGCTCCAGAGTCCCACGATGCAACTACGCACCAGTCGTGGCACCCCCAGTAGTGGCACCATAAATATAGAATTTTAGATGGGCCATTTCAGAACTGACTGGGTTTGTGTTCCGAACACTCCGTGCGCACGTGCTCCCCCCTTACGCATGTCAACCTTTTTAGTTTTTTCTGCGTCCCTCCGTTTGTTTGCCTCCCATCCCACAGCAGACCGGATGACTGCTCCTCTCCCCTTGGTCGCACCCGCTCCCGCCTGTCCCGGCAGCCCGCTCTCGCGTCTCTGACCTGAGGTACGAGTTTCCACCGCTGCTACTGCTGACCTCTCACATTTTCACACATGAACATGTTATGAATGTTAAGCATTTATCATCCTAATATATTTTCAAATAAAAGAAGCCTTGAGCATGTTACATGTTGTTTTTGAGTGGACTAGTTTAATATTTATTTTTAGAATTCTGGCAATTCACTAAACACGCCACATCACGCCCTCAGTCTGCTCTACTCAACCTGATATTTAGGCACGGCACACATCTTCTTTAGAGCCCCACGCCCCACAATTGTGCTAGTGCTAAGATCAGATCAGCAAGATAGGGCTCCTGGTGTTGTGTGGTAAGCTATTTATAAAGCAACAGCTGCCCTAAATGAAACTCCCTATAAATTCTGCAAAGAACAAAACATCATCATTTTGAACATAAAGGAAAATATAAATTTTCAAGAGATTTGGCCCATAAAGAATACAATCCCTTTGTTCTTCTGTGGGAATCATAAAATATCTCACTCACTTGCAGGACTAGAAAATACAAAATATAATAAATGTCATTATGCAATAGAATGTGAATTTCTGTTAAACATTTGGATCTTTGTCAGAGAAAGTATTTTAAAAAATCATTAATGTAAGAGATGTTTTTGTTGTATTATCAATATTATTATTATCTAGTAGTATCTAGTAGGCCTATCATAACAAATTTTGAAGTGCAATATATTGCTGAAGTAAATATAGATGACAAACGGTAATATTGAAACCAAACCATAAAGCATAATTATTCACAAAACCATGAGCTCAAATAAATAAATAGACTGCGAGTACTTCTACCTAAGTCAACGTTCTACAGCTTAAATCTTCTCATATTACAGAAACAGTACGCAAAATTTTCCCATTAGTGTAAAGAAAAAGTCTCCACGACAAATACTGACCCCAAAAATATATTGTTCCATCTTTCACATGTTGGACCTATAACTCGATATAGCCTCAACAAGGATTCTGAAACCGATTCGATAACTTTATTCATGCTGTTTTTCTGACAATACCAGAATACACTTGAATGTACGCACCTCATGCTGACTGGGCTTTGTCATCGCCATGGAGAGGAGCAGACATTTCACAGGTTGTGTTTGAAGTCTTCCCTCTGTCTTTGTGTATCAGAGAGCGTCCAATCTCTGGACCGAACACATTGGAGATGGTATGGCAGCACAGAATGTCCCCTCACCTCCTAATGCTCCTTCGTTCTTTCAGAGCAGCTCAGATGGTGAGGGGGGAAGACACTTTTGAGGGGTGGTGCTGCCGGAGATGGTGTAAAGAAGACTGTGGATGTGTGAACTGCTGGGGCTGAAGATGAGGCACTCGCAGTTACACTGATCCTTTTGTCTGGATTTAGATTTCTGATACAAGAATACAACAATCTGTGATGCATTGTGCCCCAGTCATATCATAGGGCAGGAGTCACGGGGTCCCTCACGATTTGATACAATACAAGGCTTACGATACAATTTTATCACGATATGGCGATACATGCAATAATCAATTAGTAAAATATTACATTTCATTAATTTCGTCAATTGCCAATTTGGTATCCTGATATATCGGTATTTCAACATTTTTGCACTTCTCTAATAGCTCATAGCATCAAGGTCACATCTGACACCTAAAAGTCTTCAGTATTGGTTAAACTAATATTAAATATCATAAAATACTGTTCTATAATACTATTAGTATATTCAAACCTTATGGTTTGTGTTGGATTATGGGATATACATACAATGAGCAGTGTTAAACAATAATGATGTGCAAAGTAAGGTAATGCAGATAACTTAGGTAAGTGATCTAACATGTTATATTTTAAAAGTAAGTATTTAGATTTCTTAATAGGTTTAGTAACTTTGCATTTCTTTTTCACAGCCATAACTGTACATTATCCAGGATTTTTTTTTTTTTTAAACAGCAAAACAGTTTTACAGTTTTCAAAGATCAGCTATTAACCAAAACAAACTCAACTTTGTTAAAGGAGGACTGTACGTGACGTGACGCCTCTGCTGTTGTTGCAGTTAAATTTACAATTTGAATGTAATCATTCTGTCCGTCTCATTGCACCCCTCAATAGAAAACATCTGAGGCATTCAGTTTGCACTGCACTCGCTCGTGTCTCGGGGCACGTAGCTCTGGCGTTTTCTTTAAAATGACAATACCCTATGGAATAATGTGTCCCCAGTCACCAAATGAGCCACTATGAAACAGTGTGGACGAGCACAACCAGCCCACAGCTGCTGAATATAGGTCAGTAATAATATCACAGCATGACTCAGAGGATCTGCCTCTCCCACCACATCTGATCATACCACACAGTGAGGGGTCACATGTTAAGTACAAGCTGTCATTTTCCCACATACACTTCATTTGCATTCATGCTTTATGTGCCGCTGTGTAAACCCAACCCCACCAAACCAACACTGTATTGTTTGAAGTTCCCATTTTATGCCCATGTTTTATTGTTGATCTTTTATCAAAAACTGTCTTGAGTTATATTTTGTTTCATTTGTAGACATTAAAGGAATAACAAATTAACACACTATTCTCCATAAAAAAATATGTTTTATTTATTTAAAATCTGTTTATTTTTATTACTACTTACATTTTAAAAACAAGGTTTACAATGCATCCTGCTTGTGTTTAAAGTCAATCTCTTGTCTCAGCCTTGTAATTATAATTACAGCACTTGCTTTGTGCTGAAAAACTCTTGAGGTGCTTGAGGTGCTCTTAGATTTTAGCATCTTGTTGCTAATTAACCCTTTCAGGAGTGGCATGTTTGAAGACTGAAACAGACTGTACAAAGATGTTCTATCTCATTCATTTGATCAGTTTTGACACTGGTAATCTGTAGAAATATATGTTGTTTATTAATAACAACATTATGCTTGTTGAGATTTCTGTAATATATTTTAGATAAAATAACTGATGTACTTCTCCACAGGCACACTTTTTGGCAGTATAGAAAGGAGAACCCTCAGACCAAAGTAGGCGAGCCCCCTCCTGACGGCCGGCCGGGGTTCAACAGTGGAGTGATGTTACTGGACCTGGGAGCCATGAGGACTTCAGCTTTGTACAACCAGCTCCTGCAGCCCAATAATGTGGCCAAGCTGACAGAGCAGTACCGCTTCAGGGGTCATCTTGGGGACCAGGACTTCTTCTCCATGATTGGGATGGAGTACCCAGAGCTTTTCTATCATCTGGCTTGTGGCTGGAACAGACAGCTGTGCACCTGGTGGAGGGACCATGGCTACGGAGAGGTGTTTCATATGTACTTCCGCTGTGAGGGGCCGGTCTATATTTACCATGGCAACTGTAATACACCCATACCTAATGACTGAAAACACTGACATTACTATGAAAACTGGAGCTCTAGTAGTCATTTTTGAGTAACTGACCAAATTTGTTACTGGTAAACAAATTCATTTATAAAGATTATAAGTATTTGTAGAGAATGTAGCAGGAAAATGTGGCATGGATCAAGTTAGCTGAGCTAGAGTTTTGGGGAATATTAAGATGCCGTTTACTCGGACCACTCTGTATACATATACATTTTTGCGAAAGATTGCAATCATTTTGAAAGGTTTTGTCAGGGTTACACCATGCCCCCCTTTTAGTAGATTAACTAGAATTTATTTAGTTGACTACTTGTAAGGCACAAATGTGTATAACTTATTCAAATACACCTTTTTTCATCTTTTTCATGGTAGGGAAACTGTATGGTTTGTGTATATTGTCCTACATATACTCAAAGTACTTTTCATAACCTTGGTTTACTTTTTACTATATCCACTGATGAATAAAGATTTTATAACAAGGCCGTAGCAGCACTGATATAATAATAATCCATTACAATAGTCTGAAAGCCATTCCATTTTCCACTTCCTCCATTTCCTTTTAGTAATCCATGCTTATTTTCTACATCCCATATTCTCTCTGCATCTCCTCTTGTCAACACCAAACAAGATCCTAACAGGGGTCTAATCTCATTTTTTGCTCTTTAGTAACCCCACCATGTTCATTTAAAAAGTAGGGATTTTGTTGTGTTTTTCCATTCCAGGTGGGATTTCAGATTTTCTTTCTTTATCTCCTCTAAGTAGAATTTCACTCTAAAAATACCAATGTGTTGGAAGTAGGTGAAGATTGGGTCAAGACATAGATGGCTTTTTCTATTCGATCTGTAGTTACTCTGAGGTTGCCAGACAAACAATGGGGAAACAACAAGTGCACGTTTTCCGATCGAGTGACACAGTTGTCGGCGTGACCCACTTTCTCCAAACACTGGCCTTGATCGCTAAATGAATACTGCAATTCCAAGAAATGTCAACGGTCAATAAGGATAAAGGGGTGCTCACTCTGACACGCACAACTGTAGACAACGGAATAATGCACAGTGCCATCACTGGACTGGGAAATGCAAAACTCAAGAATAAATGTTATTCCAAAATCAATACTTTATCCTTTAGGTAGTTAGTTCATCTGGAAGGGGATCAAAACAGCTCAATACGTCTGCAAGTCTGTGAATGTAAATGAACCATAATATCTTTATAAACTATGTACATAGATGAGATTAGAAGAGATGATTTACTTTTTGTGAGTGCACTTTGAAGACCTACAAAGGACTGTATGTTTTAGCTGTTTTGGGAGCTTATGACTCCTATTCCAATTTATATATTTTTTTTTATTTTCTACTGGATATGACTTTTTTAATGATTCTTTAATACACAAAATTCCACTGAAAAAAATCATAATGTAAATTGTCCCTTGTCTTATTATTTGATGTTTGTCTGTTTAAAGAAATAAATACCGTACTAAGAATTATTGATTTGTCTTTTTTCCCTTACATAAATGTGTGTTTGTGCACTTGTCATAGATGACCCACTTCTGTCTCTCAAACTATGAGTGCACATACTGGTAATCTATCACTAAAAACCTTTTACTTTGGAAGCTGCCCTGAAATCTACACAGACAGGGCAGTTCTCTGGCCTTCATAGACTTCTTAGAAATGTTGGTGACCAATTAAGATTCATAGAAGTGCTACATACCCACCCCTTTCCTGTGAAGTGTATTAAAATGACAACATTCAAGGGCAAAACCTTTTCATATTTTATGTAACGTTGGTTTAGACTGAAAGAGCATCTTGAATTTGTATGCCCTCATAACATTATTATCCATTAATGTGATGTGTTATGTGAATCCAAATTGGCATAGATGATCAGTATTTTGTTGTGACAACTAAACAAAATCGATTTATCTGAAACTATGATAAACAGTAAAGATATTTCCTCCTCAAATAGGAACATAAGGGACTGAGGAAATGCTCCAAGCTCCCAATGAAACTAGACATCTGAAAACTAATGAGTGAAATTCAGAGCCCCCAGTCTCCAAGGAAAAAGTCCTTAATGCATAGGCATTTGTTCAAGCTGGTGAAACAACTTAATTACAGTTTGTGTTTTTTGTTCTAATGGAGATAAATCAGCCAACTGGTACTACTGCGTGTCCCTTCAAATAGTGACATTGTGCTATATTTTGATTTGCAATGAGGAGGGGGATTGCCTGAGAACAGACATAGAATGGTACTGTACATTTATGAAACTCCACTCCTTTGTTTTTGACATTAAATGGGTCAGAACAAAACCGGATATTTGTAACCTGAAATTAATTTTAAGTGTTGCCTCCAGGCAGCTGATTACAGGCAATTTCCTTTCCATTAAGAAATACCTAGTCTTGTTTGTATTTTGGTCAAATCATATTGTGTAAGTGCCCTTTTAAAAGCATGCACTGTCCGAGTGCCCTAGTTTAAATAGTAAATGCACTCATAGCTTTGAGCAGTTAAAATTAGGCTTTTTGGTGCTTTTCATTTCTGTCTGTATTGTACAAATTGGGCATGACATACTTTTGTTACAGTTAACTTTTGTTTTGTGTAACTGAAGAGAATAGTATTATGAAACATTCTTTGTTTATATTCTGGACATGTTTGTTGGTAGACAATACTTGGCCAACAGTTCATTTCATGACCACCAATCAAAGTAGGACAGATTATACTTGTGTATAAAATATAGGTCGCTATCTAAATCCTAATTTTCTCTCCCTTACCTGTCCAGTTTATGCAGGCACCAGACACTGTGCAGTCAACCAAATAAGAGGCTTACAGCAGCTGCTTTCATCTGTTCTAAAACATCCTCACATGGCTGCACTTATGGTAATAGCACACTCTTCCTTATGGAGAGACATCTAGTTGCTCCTACCTGTTAGACATGCATGTGTGCTTTGATTTAGTTGCATAAATGAAAGGAAGGTTGTAATAACAATTACCTATTTGCCCTCTAATAAGTGGCTGCTATAAGTTGTTATTCTCTAACCTTGTTAACCTTGGTTCTTGTTAGTAAAACTATACAAAATCAGTATGATCATCATTTCATCAATGAAAATTGAAAAGTTTAAAAAAGTGATACATAACAGTGACTTCAGTTGTATGTATTAATGAAATGTCCATAAAATATATATTTAAAGATAATGCTAAGGAGTGAAATAATTCATACCACAATGTCACAGCCATTAAAAACATACCTGCCATTGTGTTTTATTTCATTTACACATGTTTAACACACAAATCCTGCATATTTTGGCTGAGTTCTTCTCTCAACCTAAAAATACTCCCCCTTGTGATGTCACATTGTCATAAAGGAAATGCTCCACTGTGTTTCCATACACCTTCACTAGAATAATTTGGATTTAGTTTTGGAATCGCCAGTCTCTACTGAACTAAAGGTACTGTAGCTGTTAATTTGAAAACTATAGCTTCATGACATCAGAAAGTGGAACAGAGCATTTTGAGCTTTGGGATGTAGACAGACTAATAATAAAGGTTTACTCAAACGTGTGAGTGAAACAAAACACAACTGTTGCTGCTGTTTTTGAGAAGGTAACAAGCTCACGGGAGTCAATTTTGCATAATATAGGACCTTTAAAAACTAATGATGGTCTATAAAAGTGTGACATATTCTTCCAGGGCAACAACATCTGGACTGGAAAAAAACAGTAATTTCCTAAAATGCTGTAATCAAGTCAGCTGCCTCATTAGTTCACATTGTGTTGCTGAAGTTAAAACCAGTAATTATCCAATGGGAGGTAAGTATAAAATTCACATCTTCAAACCTTTTTAAAGTAGCATAGATACACAATAATTTTTACAGATCATAGAAAATATTTTTATGGCACTCGCAGTTTTCTTGTCACTCTTTTCTGCTACTTCCATTCAAGTTCGTGTCACAAAGGACTGAACTGAACTCTCATAATTTTTTGACAACTCTGGCTTAAACTATCCACAACAGTCAAAGGAAACAACAGAAGACACCTCACATGGAAAGGCCTCTCACGTGCCTGTGGAGCTCGTGGCTCACACCAACCAGACGACTCAATCTGCCATACCTCCTTCCAAATCACAAAGCACTTTGACAATCACAGATAACACAATCTGTAATACTTTTGGTGAAATAAGGGAAGTGACTGCCTTCAAATGGTTTATTGATGTTTTTCTAGACTTTGCACATGAAGGACAGCTGCATAATGATGTGCCTGTTTCAGTCAATGGTCTAAAGAAAATTAATAAGGAACCAATATTAAGAAATGTGATATTGAGTTGGTGCTTGGGAGGAGGGGAGAGGTTTTCAACTTAAAACAATGTCTTCCATGCAGGAGACAAACTGAGGTGCCTTGGCTCCCTCCAATTGGGGTTTGTCTCTTAGTATCAGGTTGAGGATTGGGAGCTCTGACTTGTTTCATTCCACCAAAACTGGGCCATAGGAGTCAACATCACAATGGATCAAACAAAAGTAAAGTGTAAGTTTATACAAACCTACTGAGAATGATTTTTATAAAGGCAAAGTATATGTAAAAATACTTTCATGGTCAATGTATTGATCAGAAGATGAATAACACAATGTAATGTTCCCACAACACAAGGAAACATATTTGTATTGTTCGAGGCATCTTTAAAAACACACATATTCTTAACTGTCAGTGGCCTTAGTTCTCCACATATCTTCATTATTCTTTACTGAGCAAAAATTATGAATGAAAAGTACTATTACCACAGGATAGTCTAGTCTGTATACTCGAATTATGCAACCTGTAGGTCACATTGTTCACAGAGGCTGTATATATATATATATGTGTGTGTAACAAGACTTGAGTAAAGCCTTTCTTTAGTATGTGCCTATACTCATGTGAACAACAACATGAGGTCTGCCAGAGATGAGTTTCTGAAGAACACCACAGGCGATGCAACCAATGACAAAGAGCACACAGACAGATATATGACTAGACTGTCTCAAGAACTGCCTGAGCATTTTCCCCTCATTCACCTGAATTCAGATAGGGAAGATGCCAGCTGTGAGAACTAGAAGGTCGACCTACATAATACAGTATATGGCTGCGTCTGTCACAAATTAGGTCTGTGTGTCGCCCTACTTCAGTGACAAAAAGTACAGGGCAGGTGAGCAAGGCCAGACTAACTCCTACCCAAACTAAACCTGGCTATAGTTAAGAGTCCAGCAGGGGTGTCAGACTAGAGGGGTAAAGGTTACTGTTTACCCAGGGTCCATTGCAAGAAGGGGCCCCTCATAAAGCCTACAATGTGCATTTATCATTAGACAACACTGCAGACTCACCAAGATGATTTGTACTCAGGGCCCAGAATTTGGTGCTACTCTCCTGCAGACGACCAGAGAATACTTCAGACGAGTAACGCAGTTCAGAGTAAGTCAGTTCATTAATTTGTGTATTTGCTGAAATGACAGTGTTATAATATAGTTGCATATCATGAAATACATTTTTAAAACATTTTTTTCTAAGTGAGGGAGTGTCTTGTATGCTTTGCTAAATGAACTACATCCATCCTCATGAGCACTGTTGGCTGTGTGGATACCAGCATCATCCTGTCTTTCATGTTAATTGTAAACTGCAAAACTGGTCTAATGGCTCAGTAAAAGAAATGGGACAGTTGACTTCCTGTAAAAAAAATACAGACCGATACTACTTTTTTTTAACCTTATATATGACCCAGAGTCAGTTTTATTAATTTCTTTTTTTAAATGAATGCAAGTTAGTACAGGGATGTGCAAGGGTAGGAGGTAAGGAGGTAAAATTTTCTGATAACTCAGGCCCCAGATACAGAACTATAAAGGTTTACTCAATCAAGCATGAATTGAAATACAACTCTAAATGAATCAAAAACACTAAAAGCTTTGAAAAAGTTGGAGAAAAGTTGATTTTGCATATGGCCTTAGTTAAGGCTCACCCATGTGTCTCTGGGCTTCTTCAGTCAAAGGCCAAAGCTGGCACACGATCAGACCGCAGTAATGTAGAAAGCATCTAGTGGTGATATGTGGGAATATAACAGGGATGGGTCAGCCAGTCTAAATACAGATGGTAGCTTAAATTGAAACTGATGGTCAAGTTTCCAAATTAACATTACAATTTATGATGCCTATTTTGTATGTAGGCCTATATATGTATGTGATTAGAATTGCATTTTAATTTTTATCCCTCTTTTTCTTATAATTTGCTCAGTTCTAGCCTTCTTACCATGCACTTGTATTTTGACCTATTTTTGTGACAATGGACATGCCTTACCAAAGACGGGGCAAATTTGTGCTAAAATTAAATTACTACACTAATCTGATTATTGTAAGTCACCAGTTCTATAGCATCAAATTCTTTCTGTCTACTAAGAAAACTCAAATGACCATTTTATTGCATTACAAGGTCCTGTGCCCTGACCTTAAAAGACCACTATGGTGTGAATGACCCAGATG